TCGTTTAGGAGCCATCATAGGGCTTAGATAAAATTTCTTAAAAATCGCAAACAATTACAGTACACTGTACAAAAGCAAAAATGCATCTGATATGTAGCGCCGATACGTAGCAATGCAGACAGAAGCGTGTACAGTATGAGCCAATCAGTGGCAGTAATGACAGAGCATGCGCTGTTAACGCAAAAACCGCGATAGAGCGAAGCCGGAAGTCGAAGCGCGAAGTGGCGAGGGTTCACTGTACTTTAATCACGGGGCATGGTAGCACTAAGAGTCGGCCTATGGGATCTCCTTGATTCTTTATCTCCATTATGTAACACCAGTCCAATTTCTCCTTGGTAATCAGGATCAATCAGTACAGTGACACCCTTCCTGACCTGTGACGTGTCCTCCCCTCTCATTACCCTTTCCCCCTTAAACTCTTCCTGCCCCCCCACCCCAACTGTAGGTCCCATAGCTGTGTCCTTGATGTTGCTTATCCTGCCTATCTTACGTAGATAGACACCAAATGAAAAAAGAAACATAAAAAAAGAAAGACCATATAAATAGTTCCAAGTTTGTTATCCTGACCCACTGTAGGTGACTGTCTGTCTGTTACATAGCAAGCAGACCCTGTTATAATCCATCAGTTCAACCCCCTTTTCTTTCAGGGTTCCATATCCCAGTACACACGTACCTAGAAGCACTTATACCCTATAGTCCTCAGCATTCGTGACCTAAAGGCACGGCTCGTACAAGTCCCCATTGCTCTTCCTGCAGTCAGGGATGGAGCGGTCTAGTGCCCCCGCCCCATTACAACCTTTAGACTTTCAATGTGGCCCCCTTGTGAGTAACCCCCAACCAGTTCAGATGAGGTGCTAAAGCACTACGCTCCAGTCATAAGTCTATAATCGGTATTCCTCAGGGGCTTAATATCTTCACTCCCATCACGGTCTGTTCTCCCCTCTTGGTCACTACCTTGTTTGGGGTTATCCTCACAATTGCCATTGTTGCAGCTGCTGTGTTGCTCCATATATTTTTTAATGGCTCTTTACCAACCATTGTGTCCGCTAAGCACTTACCGTATATACTCGTGTATAAGCTGGGTTTTCCAGCACATTTTTAAGGCAGTTTTTGTGGTAAAATTAGGTGCCTCGGCTGATAATTGGGGTCGGCTTATACTTGAGTATATACGTTAATTGAAGAGCTGGGTTTGCTGACCCTGGGAGCTAGAGCTCATTGACATTGGGCAGAGTATCACCCTGGAATGGCATGCCCTTTGGGCATTTATTGGCAGTGCTAAAAGAGCTCTCTAATATTTCTTGAGCAGGACAGGCCAAAGGGCTGTGTGGCTGCGAAGTAAAGGACTGGAGCGCAATGCTTGTGTCCATTGCAATGAGTTATTGATTCCAGTAGAGAGTTACAACTTTTGTTAGAACCTGCAAGACATTGGAGGGTTGAGGCATGTCTGACCTCCATCTCATGAATTGGCCTTGGGCAGCTGCTGCTGATTATCGTGATTATCCTTTCCCCTCTCCGTTTTACAGCACGTTTCATTAGAATCTTAAGCTTTGTCATCTTGGGTCATCTTTTGAAATCTTCTGTTCCACCTTTTTGCCTCTTCATTTCGTTAACGTGCTCTACCTGCTCTTTGTGCAAGAACACGTTGAGTTTCTTCTTAGATCTCTTCTAGAAATCTACTTATGCAAGTTTGAAGCTAATTGCTAGTTATCATATTGAGAAGTATTGGACCATAGAAATTAAAAGGTAAATTTCTGAGCATGGTGTCTTTGGGTACAAATCAAGTCTCCTCTTCTACAAGTGTGATACAGGTTACTTAATCAGTCTATGTCTTAGTCCTCGTAATGTAAAAAGAGAAATAATGCTTTTATCTGTTTACAGATTATTGTAATAGTTAAGTTGGTAAAGGTAAATAAAATGTTGAGAATAGTACTTCACATAGAAAGCAGTTCAACAAATGGTGATTCTTTAGTACTCTATTGTTGTTTTCATATGCACCATTACTGCATAAATACATGTATCTAGAAAAGTCCTATTAAGAGTTCAAATGATTCCAAGTAACTACAGTGACATAAAAATTTCTATATAAAGACAATGGTTTTAAAACAATTTTAATAGAACCTTTGTATAGTACATATTTAAAGAGTTAGTTGTAAAGAAGGAATGTAAAATAAACCAAGTTTTCATTTTGTGCCCAAGGAGTTGATTTATTTAGTCCTCACAGAGTTATTGGGTAAGCATCGAGTCAGCAGTTCAAGCTCACCAACTGCTTTTTGGGAGAAAGATGAGGCTATCTGTTCCTTTGAAGATTTACAACCCCAAACCCTGCACAAGAGTAGCTATGAGTTGGAATCAACTTGATGACATGCATATTAGAAAATTAGTCTGCACCAATTTTATTCCCTTTAGCACATTAAAAAAATCCATAAAATTGATCTAAAGAATTAAACTTAAGTCTAAATATACCTTTTTTTCCTTTGAAATAATTGCCACATTAAAAATTATATTCCGGTTTAATTTTTAGTCCTGGTGTAAGAATTTCTACCCCTAAAAAAAAAAAAAAAAATTCAACTCTTTCCCTGCTCCTAAGTCTTATTTTCTGCCACATCTGGCTGACATTTTTATAACTTATATATTTGCAAAAGTACTGAATAGTATATTTTAAACCATAAAAACTAGGTTTAATAAACATTAAAAGCATGAATTTTATAATTTAAGACATGTTAGTTTAATATTCTGAAAGACTTCAATCAACTGAAAAAGCAATTCAATTTATAGTTTATTAAAGTTGTAAGTATATAAAACATTAAATTATTCAAGTAAAGCCTTGCTCCTTATCACTTCTGATAGAAATAAATGCTGTTTCTTTTAAGACTTTATTTCATGCGAGACATCAATGCGAGACATCAACTCTGTATGGCACTATTGTTTGTGCTATAATTATATATTGACTTGAGAGAATGATCATTGCACTATATTGGTTACAATGAAACATAAGCAATAAATGACTTCTTTTTGCCCTTTGGAATATATCGAATGTTTACTAAAGTGACTTATATAAGTACCGGTAGTTAATTGTACCTGCAGTCAAATATACAGATTAGACATAGAAAAAAAAGTGAAGGCCAAGCCCTCACTGATTCAATTGGTAAAGATAAAATGAGCCATTATAAAATTCACTTTATTAATTAATATGGCCTGGAAAGGAAGTACGTTAAAGGCATCAGTTCCTTGTGGTTCTTGTCCCACACACCAAAAGAAGGTGATGCTGAAACAAAGTGAGCTGGATCGAGTAATGAGATGCACTATTGCTGGGGAGCCAGCTGGAGACCCTGGCTGTGAGTGGTTTTAAAGTGGAGAAGATGAGGAACTATCTCAGGGGACATAGGGAGACAAGTGTGAGACAGTCATAGTAATTCCTTAATCAGTAGTTTTGTGGTCTCAAAACTGTCACAGAATGGCCTCAGGTTAGCTGTGAGTCTAGTTTGCTGTGAGGCCTATGTGCAGGGTCACCATGAAGACATAATTTTCTATGCTTTTAACCATAGGCCATTTAACATTACTGAATATAGAAAAATATAAATAGAACTTGAGATTTTCAAGCTATAATAATAGAATTGCATTTCTTCTTTTTAAAAAAAAATAATTTTGGGGGGGTCGTACAGCTCTTAGCTCCTTCCTTCCTTCCACCCACCCACCCACCCACCCACCAGCTGCTCGGCGGGGGAAAGATGAAACAACTGTTTTGGCAAAGACCAACAGCCCTGAGAACTCCATGGAACAGTTAGTTCTTCTCTTGTCCTGTATCAAGTCGCTAGGGTTCAGTACTGACTCAACAGCTGTGGGTTCAGTGGGAACCTGTGAACACAGTGCTTAATTAGTTAAAAGAGATTCATCGTGAATAGTAAATATTTTGAAGTATACTAGTGATAAAGTCATGATATGAATATACTTCTTATTTTTATTTAAGTAAATGGCCATTAGGTTCCTCTGAGACTTCCTGGAGAAAACTGAAGCTATCACAGGAAGATGATTCTGCCTTACACTGGGAGGCAGGGCCTAACAGTTCTCTTACACGAGAGTCAGTTTTATAGTAAACAGCACACATTAGGACAGCAGCCTGACAAGCCATGTGGCTTGTATGTTTGTGGTTTTAAATACCAACATAACATGGTAGAAATGTATTTTGTATACTGTGTTATTTTATGTTGATTTATCTGATAAACTCATTGGCCACAGCCCAGTCGCTTACTGAGTTTTGCAACCTATTGGACAAATCAAAATATATTAGACGGCATGAAATACAGGTATTAGGCTAAGTACTATTTCAAGAAACTAGTATTTCAGACATATCCGGGTGTCTGCGTGCGTGCGTGCGCGTGTGTAGCAGCAGCTTATGTAAGCTAAACTAATAGGCAATGTGGCTAAAAGCAATGGAAGCATTCCCACAAATAACCTCACTGTTTTAAATCTCAGTCAAAATGCTGTTTAATTGTAAAATCAAAACGTATTGGTCTTTTTGGTTGTTAATACCTAAAATATATTGTAAACAAATTTGTTAAATTTGTTTTGCAGTTAGCTTCTGGAATTTATAATTTTGCCTGCTCTCTGTGGAACCACCATACAGACACATTCCTGCAACAAGTTTCTTCTGGGAATGAAGCTACAGTTCAGAGTTCATTAGAACGAACATTACTGTCTTTGAAAGGTACTCTCTGTTTTCAATACTAAACTCCTTCAGATGTGTTTACTTCTGAAATAATGTTCTTCACCCAATGATCCTTTGGATGGACTTTCTGTTCTTACTCTTTTGTGAAAACAAAGGGCTGCTTTTTCTCTTAGCGTCAAAGACTTTGTAGTTATTTGTTTTGTGCATATACAGGCTGTGTTAGGAGGGTCCAGCAACTGCTACTTCGTTCAGCAGGTCTTTGAACTGGTTCAGTCCTGGCTGATGATGTCAAACAGGAACAACACTGCATTGTCAGAATTTGGGTGATTCGTCATAGTAACCGTAACAGGAAAAATGACTGCTCAGAGTTCTGGAATAAGAGACTCAAGAGGAGACTGATGCCTGCTATTAGATTATTAGGTAGGACTGTGGAGAGCTGTGACATCGAGGCTATGCTTTGGGCTGCTAACCTCAAGGTCAGCAATATGAAACCACCAAGCTGCTCTGTCAGAGAAAGATGATGCTTTCTAGTCCTGTAAAGAGTTACAGGCTTGGAAACCCACAGGGGCCATTTTACCCTGTCCATTAGGGTCACCATGAATCACATTTCAGTGGCTGTGACTTTGGTTCTTGGTTGTGGGTGTACCAAAACACATTTATAATGGAGTCACCATATTTGAGCTGATTGCTTCTCGATTCTGCTCACCAGTTTGAAGCCCTGTATGTAAATTTGCTCTCAACTTTGAAACGACTGAATCCAACCCCTAATTGCAACAGATTCTTTATCACAGGTACCTTTATGTGCAGCTCTTAAATCATTGCAAAGGCTTTGAGCTATTGCTTACACTAACGTGCTCTTGTTTTGACTTACCTAGAAATGCTTAAAGACATAGTAACTGATCTTGTGCATAAACCAAGTGCCCATAACTCTTCCGATCCTTCTAACTTAGGAAAGCTCACAGTTTACCTATACTTTATCCCCTAGGACTATCTTCCTGTTCTAGTTTTCAGGAGAAGTTCTGTCTTTCTTCTTTGTGGTTCAGATTCACTTGGATTTTTGAGTATGCTTGATGGGCTGCCCTCATGAGTTTGTGTCTTCTGTGTTGTGTTTGTGGGCATTCTCTTAACATAACTCACTTCACCGTCCCATACCATAGTTAAGCTTGCCGAATGACTCCTTTCCCTTCTGGAACCCTGCCCTCACGTTGCATACCCTGACTTTCCAGTCTCTCTCCTATCCTGACTGCCGAGGCGTTTTTAGTCTGTTTTTCTTAGTTTTATCTCAGGCTGACTTTGATTCTCTATTACAGCTCATTTTTCATCCTCTCAGTTTGATTCATAAGGCCTTTATTACTCTAGTGTTTGGAATTCCATCATACTGTCTTGGCATTGCCTTAATGAATCACTTTTATTAACCAGACAGTAGATGCAATCAAGTCCTAAGCTTTCAGTACTTGGGTTTAACCTGTGAGTAAAACTAATGACTTTAAAGGATGATTGAGAAGTTAAATGCTTTTTACAGGTGAATAAGCCGGTGAGCTTATTCAAAGAGATGTCTTTGTTACCATGTTGAGGAACAGATGAAAGGACCTAGATAAAAGTAGACTAAGAATTAGAGAAATCTAAGCCTAGCAGTCTATGTAGCACTATACTGATAAGACATTTAAAACTTTTATATTTTATTTATTGAAAATATACACAGTAGAACATAACACCAGTTCAGCAGCATCTGCATGTACCATTTAGTTACGTTGATTAGAATCCTTGAATTGTACAATCAGTCATACCCTCCTTTTCTGAATTACGTACTCCTCTTCTGTAGCATAAAGTAACTGCCCTGTAAGGTTTCTGTCTACTCCCTTGAGTTGCTGTTGTACATGTGATCCCATAGAGAGAAATCTTAACACTAGGTTTATGGGATGTATCATTTTGACCTATTGCAGTTTCCTCAAGGAAAATTGCGGAAACCATTTACATTTACCTTCTATCATTTATGCTGCCTTTATCCATTTAATGAGACAAATATATATATATCCAAATTAATTTTCTTCTAAGCTTTCTAATCTCAAAAATTCTCTGTGTGGTATACCTATCTCTAAAGATATGTGTCACTTTGATGTGAACATAAATTGAGCATTAATCCCAGAAATCTTTTTCATTCATGAAAGTATTGCTTCACTAATAAATATAAATATAAATGTAGTCACAGAGATCTTAGAAAGTAAACACCAAATGTAAAGACAAGCAATGCGGTGGAGATTGTCATATTGACTGATCGGAACAACCCTAATGATACGTAGAACCGAATCGCTCAAATGTTGTATAATGTTAATTATTATAAATTTTTTGTAAAGATAGAGTACACATAGTTTCATTTATAAAGTTAATAGTGTATAATTAATTATGTAGTTAATAGTGTATAATTATGTTGTTTTTTAAACAAAACAAGTTGGCTTTTAAAGATGTGCGGTCTTCTCTGTAGATTTCTCTGTGGAATCTTTGATACAAATGTTTTCTAATGGTAATCGGACACCATCCAGTTCTTCGGGTCTCATGGCAAAGGAGACATTTGATCTTGGAGCCAGTCACATTTTCCATTTTCTCCTCTTATTCTTGTCTCCTCTTTTTCCTTCGTTTCTCCAAGTGAATAGAAACCACTTGTGCCCTGAAGGCTTCTTTTGAGACCTTAGGCACTACACAGTAAACTAGGAGCTAAACTCCTAAATATTGGTTTAATTACTAGATGTTCCATGAAACCATGACCCTAATTGTCCTAACCAAATAACCAAATACCATGAGACATTAGGCTGTGTACATGCAGCTACTATTACTTATTTATTTACTCCTCTGGCCACTCTTTTTTTCCCCCCAATTGTTTTATTAGGGGCTCATACAACTCTTATATCACAATCCATACATACATCAATTGTATAAAGCACATTTGTACATTCATTGCCCTCATCATTCTCAAAACATTTCCTC